TGAAAGATGGACGGAGTGCACGAAGATGCTGCTCTTTGAGAGCGCGGCCTCTTATACTTTACAGAACACATTTTTTTTAGATAGAACAAGGGACAAAGCCATGAGGAGAGGATGGTGGCATTACAAAAGATCTCTTCACACCTTGTCCTAACAGGGCACCATTTAAGACATTAAAAGCTCTTCCAGCAGCACATGTATGAACATGTTTCATATGTATTTATGACGAGGTGGTCCATGAAGCACTAACAGTCCATTGTCCTGATGATGATCAGCCGGCACGGTTCTGATAAGCCTTCGGGGGGGGAGGGGGGGAGGGGGGTTGAAAAAATGAAGTTTTTCTTTGGTTTACACATTTCCCAGGAGAAATTGATAAGTCAGCCTGTTACGAGGCAAACCAGGGAGTTAGATTCAGATAATCCACAATTGTTGATTTTTACAGGCAGACTGTTTTTTATTGTCAGCCTCGAGTCTTACTGGTACTTCCAAGGTCCAAAATGTCCAGATTAAGGTGCTTTCTACTGGTCTGTGCTTACGAGCCTCTTCAAGGTCGTTTCATGTTAACGAGTCCCAAAGCAGCAGGTGGCCTGCGATTCAAATCACTTCCATCTTACGGTTTAGCTCATAAATCAGCTGATTTTGAGTCCTCAAAGCAGGAACCAAACCTTCACATGGGCAGCAGCTGACGAGGTCCAGATTAGCTGCGGCCGTCTTCTTTGTATGTTGATAAACCAAGAACAAGACTATTCCAAAAACAGGAAACCTGTTGTCATAAATCCAATTATATGAAATGTCCATGTCCTCTATCGACAGCAGAGGCAGACACATCACATTCCACTTCCCCAGAGACATACCAGCTGCATGCATGTTGTCCGAGCAGACATGAGGGTTCTCCAGGGCCTGTCGCTTTGTTGAAAAGATTTTGTAATTTACGTCGAAAGTCCAGTTGGTCAGAACCAAAACAGTAGTTTTCATTTCAGAAGATGTGTAAAAGAAGGAGTTGCTCCGATACAGACAGAGAGAAAAAAGCAGGAGAACAGGGAGCGGGGACACAGTGTCAAGTGATGTGCATTTCAGGTGAAGTATGAAGTCAGTCCTCATGACCTAAAAGAAGGTTAAGAGCAGGACAAACCACAGATACGCGAGTATGTGCTCTGAAAAAGCAAGGTTTATTTACTGAAACAAATCTATATAATGGTATGCAAGTGTGTGAAGTCTTTCTAATGTACTATGTTTTAAGAGTGTGAGAGCGCTCCTACAAGAACCCTGCAGATGTTGGATGCTGCAGATGTTGGATGCTGTCTATCATGGTGCACTAAGATTCATAACTGGCTGTAACTACCGTACCCACCACTGCACCCTGTATTCACTGGTTAACTGGACATCATTAACTTTACACAGACTCTCACACTGGTACATTTTCATCTTTAAATTACTTCTTGGTCTGCTGCCTTCATACATCTCCTCCTACATGTCTCTGTGTGAGTGCAGCTACAGCGTGCGCTCTCAGGACATCATTACCTGCAGTGTTCCCTCAGTGAGGACTGAACTAGACAAAAGGACCTTCTCCTACTCCGCTCCTGTTTCCTGGAATATCTTGTAAAAAGTTCTGAAGCTCTCGACCTTTGACCTCTCTAAGTGGCTTTAAAAATCAGTTGGACACCTGGCAGGGACCAATGCAGACATGTTCCTGTTTTTAGTTTTCTACATTTGCCTTAGAATCTAGCTGTTTTTTATTATTTTTCTTTTTTTTAAGTCTTCCTATGTGTAAAAAAAAATAAAAAAAAATTGTATGCCATTTTATAACTGTTTATTGTTGTCCATTGTTGTCATCTTTCTTTATTAAATCAGGTCTCTCTTGTAAATGAGTCCTTGAGGCTCAATGGGATTTACTGTCTAAATAAAGGTTGAATGAATGAATGTTGTAAGAGTGTGAAATCCTATGAATTAAGATTTAATCATGTTGAAGAAATTGTAGAGCTTAAATTAAGAGATTATAGGGAAAGCTTATATTGAAAGTGAGTTAACTTTAAATGATTAAGAGTAAATGAATTAATGTTACAGACTAAAAAAAATTAAGAGAATCAATGGTCAAGAGGTCAAATTCACAGTTTAATGTTCGAGTGTCAAGTCACCACAGGAAGTGGAAGTCTGAACAGATGGCCAGGCCAGTAGGAGGAAAAGGAGAAAGTTACCTGTAGAAAAAGAGGAAGTTATCTGTAGAAAACAGGAACAAGTTACCTTAAGTGAAGAGGCTCTCTCAGAAAAAGAGGAAGCTCTCTGCAGAAAAACAGGAAGACAGACCTAGTGGCAGTCAAAGATAATTTTAACAATGACAGTGACGTTGAACAAGTGATCTGATGTTGTAGAAAGTCTGTATCCAGGACTGCTGCTATGCAGAAATTACGCAATGAGCAGACAAATGTATAAAAACGCTCAGCATTAACGATTGGGGCTGAAGCACTTGGAGAGTTTTAAAGGACAGTTCATTGACGCATTCAGTAACTAAAGGGAACTTGAAGATCCGAAGAGAAGAATAATTTTTCTCAGCTCAGCCCGGACCTGAAAGCCAACTCAAGTTTCCAAGATTGGATTTTATTGAATGTAGTATGAAACATTCTTCAAAAGCAACTGAGGGATGCTTGTCACCAGCTTCATCAGTCAAGGATCCCCTTTGACAAGGGGTCTTCAAGAAGAGATGGTATGACACATACTAATAGCTGTCCTAAATAAAATTAAATAATTAAAATCGCTTATAGCTATACTAGTAGAATGTTAGGACTCTTGACAACATTTTGAGTTATTGGGATTTAGTCATTATATTAAATTAGGTATTTTTAAAGTCTTAATTAATAAAATTAGGAGTTTCCCAATTTTTGCTGCATTATGAGATTCTGAAGATGCCTTTGTATTTTTTTGATTTTTTTCCCTTTTGTTCGATGGAGTTTTTGAACACACTTTAGATTTGGACTTTGTTTTTTAATTTTCAACTAAACTTAATTTTTGAAATTTCACTCTGGAGGATTCTGGGAACACGAGGTAAACTCTAGAGGCCAGCTGACGGCTCATCGAGTCCAGTAACGATCTTGGGTTTCGGAGCAGCAAAAGTCTTCCCCTGAACCTAATCACCTTACCTTACTTTGGCTCAACAGAGTGAGGATTAATATATTTCTATTTTTCCTCAATGGAGCTTATTGATTTATAATTTTCTGTTTTTGCTCATCGGAGCTTTCCGGATATATAATTCTATGGTTCAGCTCATGGGCAGCACGGTGGTGCAACTGGTAGAGCTGCTGCCTCTCAGCGAACAGGTTCCTGGTTCAAACCCCGGTCCAGGGGCCTTTCTGGGTGGAGTTTGCATGTTCTCTCCGTGCATGCGTGGGTTTTCTCCGGGTACTCCGGTTTCCTCCCACAGACCAAAAACATGCATGTTAGGCTGATTGGTAACTCTAAATTGTCCCTAGGTGTGAGTGAGAGAGTGAATGGTTGTTTGTCTCGTTTGTCTCTATGTGGCCCTGTGATGGACCTGCGACCCGTCCAGGGTGTACCCCGCCCCTCGCACAGTGATTGCTGGACATGGGCACCAGTGACCCCCGTGACCCAAAATGGAATAAACGGGTAAAGATAATGGATGGATGGATGGTTCAGCTGCTCATTGGAGCAAAGGAATTACAACACAATTGAACTGTTTCGCCCCTCGGACATCAACCAACAATCAACTGTAACACCTTTCAAGTAACAAGTGGACTTTTGACTACTAACTTTGTTATGTAACCGAATAATCACTATGGATTTCTGCTATAACGCTGTTCCCCTGCAAATCATTAATTAAAGCAAAGCATAAAACGTAAAAATCTGGACTATCATTTCACCACCTCGTGTTCATGGATTTAAGAAGCTTGGTTCAATTCTAACAAAATAGGGAGGTTTGAAACACTTTACTCAGCTGTGAGTATTAAGACAACACCTGGAATCCTATTCCTGGATTCTAAAAAGAACCAGATCAGTAAGAATAGCCGTTCTGCAACGAAGGTGAACGACCGTTAATGTGAGTTTCCCTGTGTATGATGATCCAACTCCGGCTGCTAGGTTGGGCGAGCCACGGGGTGAGATAAGGGTGTGGCTCACAGATGGAGGTCGTTCACTAATCTGGGTGAGTCACCTTCAACACAGCCTACGGTGAACTAACCTAAAATTACTCTGGGTAACACTCAAGTGTTAGGCTTAGTTTGTTATACCCCTTAGAGGAGAGGCTGCAGTGAGGTTTGTCCATAACTCAGGTGGCATCTCCACTGGGTAGATTGAGAACAGACAGAGCAAAAAGCAGGAGGAGAACAGGGAGCGGGGAGAAACGCATGCGCCTCGTTAAAAGAGCCAGCGAAGACAAATAACAGAGTTAAGAATGGGGCATGAAATCAATGATTGTGTGGCTTCTGCAGTATTGTCAGGAGGTCAGAGTCAGAGATTTATTTGTCATACACGCCATACGTAATACATGAGGTGGGGAAAACTGTGCACAGGGTCCCAGTTACAGCCAACAAAAACACAAATTGTAAAGAAAAACATTAGTAAGATCCGAGTCATGAACTAAGAATACACTAAGCACTATTGGTACAAAAACAATGCACCAAAACAACAGCAGCACGAACATGAGTCTGTGTGAGCAATCTGTGCCAGTCCGATGTGCTCTCCGTTTACCGGCTGGTCTACTTTCCTACCTTCACCTGAGGGAATGAACTCTGGGCAGTGACCGAAATAATGAGATCTCTGATACTAGAAGGTTTTACGGGCATGTTCAACTGCGACGAGACCCCAGGGAGGATCTAAGACATGGTGGAGAGACGGTCTCTTGGCTGGTGTGGGAACATCTAGAGTCTAGCACTCGATACAAGATTTATTCGACCGAGACAACTCTGTGACTATTTTCAAGAGAAACTTGTTGCATAAATTCAAGCTGCAAAACTTCAAGCTTCTGTGACTCACGCAAGGAAATTTAGAACCCCTGCAAATGTTCTGAGACATTCTGAAGACCGCTGATGAACACAGATGGCAGAGGAGACACCAGAGGTCACAGTGACCTTGAAATGTTGGACTACTGAAATAACTGATCACGTTTTAACAGCTTGATTTCTTTAATGTCTCCGTCTCTTTCAGCATCACAAATACACTCAAATATGGACTTTATTTACAAAAATGTCGTTCAATAAACAGGGAAACTTTAGATTAGGGCTGCACAATAGAACCGATACTGCGCTCAATCCCAAACCCAACCAGATGCCAGTCAAATATTTGTCCAGCAGATGATTCCCCACTGGCCTAACAGCTCGCAGCCGAACTTCTGAAACGCTCAAGCTAAATGCTAATTGCTAAAGAGAGTTGTGAGCAAAATGTGAGTTGTTGTCAAACCCGATGTCAACAAAAACCGCACGTCTTAATATTGTGCAGCCTTGTCTGGACGTAAAGCACGTCTGTCCCTTTTTGTCAGGCTGTTGGAGTTCAGGACTCGGACAAATCGGGGTTTTCGTCGGTCTGGTCACCAGGGACAGGTTTGCCGTCGGCATGGTGGCTCTTCATGTGTGTTTTCAGGCAGTGGCTCTGGGTGAAGGTTTTGTCACAGAGGGTGCACTTGTAGGGTCTCTCTCCATTGTGGGTCCTCATGTGGACCTTCAGGTGTTCCCGTCGAGAACACGCTTTCTCACAAACCTCGCAGATGAATTGTTTGATGCCTAGGTGGATCTTAACGTGGCTATCCAGGTTAGTCTTCTGCCTGAAGCTGCGTCCGCACTCGGGGCATTCGTACGGCGTCTCGCCAGTGTGAACCCTCATGTGCTTCTTCAGGTCATAGGACATGGTGAACCTCTTGCCGCAGGTGTCGCAGGCAAACTGTTTCTCTGCGCTGTGAATCTTTATGTGAACCATCAGTGAGGATTTTGAGAGGAACGTTTTGCAGCAGACGTGGCAGAGGAACGACCGATCTCTGTCCGCATGAATCTTCATGTGCGTCTTTAACGAACCTTCGAGTTTGAAGCGCTTCTCGCAGATGGCGCAGGCGTAGTGTCGTTCCTCCGAGTGGATCAATCGGTGCTGAGTCAGTGACCGGCGGAGGTTAAAAGTCTTCTTACAGATGTCGCACTGGTACTGGTCTTCACTGGTGTGTGTCTTCATGTGAACTGCGAGCTGAGCCTTCAGTCCAAACGTCTTCAGACAAATGTCACATTTGTGTGGTTTCTCTTCCACGTGAGCCCAGAAGTGAGTGTTCAGGGAAGCCTTGTTCGTGAAGGTTTTGTTGCAGAATTTGCATTTGAACCGGCTGTTTCCCGTGTGCTTCGCGATGTGACACTTCAGACTCAGGACGGAGACGAAAGTCTTCCCACAGTCTGAACAGCTGTGAACATTCTGGTAGCTCCTCAGGTGTTCCTTTAGCTCCTCCATAGATTCAGACTTCTCTCCACAGACGCCACAAATGTCCCGTTGCTCGTCCACGTGGCTCCAGGCGTGCTTGATCAGGCTCCCCTGGAACCGGTACCAGACCCCACACACTTTACAGAACATTTTACTATCTTTCGTCTTCTTCATCTCCATTTTTACTCTTTTTTTAATGGTTGGTTTTTTAATCTGCGGCCCAGGACCTCGTTTCCTCTTGTGTCCTCCGTCTAACGCCTCCTCCCTGTCATCGCCGGACTCCATGTTCTCTGCTTCCTCCTCCTCAGGGTCCGTGTCCTGCCGGGACGTCGAGCTGCCGGACTGAACGGCCGCTCTGTGAGCGGGGACAGAGAGAATTACTTTGTACACGACGCAACAAATATTGGGATGTAAATTTAAGAGTGTCATGTGACCTCCTGTGATGTCACAAACTCAAAGCAGCTGTGAAGGTCCACCTTCACTTTATTTATAATTAATTAATCCCAGTTTCATTCTTTATCAGATTAGCAGAGGTGTAGATGGAGGAAGCATTTTCTGCTTTTAACCAACAAAAACCAAAGTTTCTGTTCGGTTCCTTTACCTCGTTCCATCAGTCTTTGCTTCTTTCATTCTTGGTTCAGTTTTTTCCTCCTTTTTTTGCTTTCTTTTCTGAAAACAACAACAACAAACAAACAAACAAAACAAACAAAAGTTTTAGGTTTCGTCCTCAGAGCTGATCACACCTTCAAACAACACATCTTGATTTGAACTTCTCGAGTTTTAGAACAACTTTGGAGTTTCTATCCACACGTTGTGGACTTATGGTACGTAAACTTTATAAAGCAAAAACTAGCTAAACAGTAGCTAAAAGCAGCAATGAGAGCTAAAGGCTAACAGCAGTA